AACTTTAAAAATAATTCTCAAACTTTCCTATAATAATTTCTGAATCCTTCAACGAATACCGTAACACGCGTGTTTCCCGAGTTACATACGCAAGAATCGGCAGCTTTACATAAGGGTCCGCTCGTTTCATCGGTATTTACGCAGTTTTCTCTCGACGGCATCCGCTATTAGGGGCCTTCGTCTCTCGTTACGTCCTGCCGAACAGTGATAAGTGCTGACAATGAGTACGTTTATATGTCATCCTTAATCGGGTTTAATAACATCCGTAGTTGTAAAACTGGCCAATCACAGCCGTTCCATTATTCAGAGGAATGACTGTGATTGACCAGTTTTACAACTATGGGTTATTAAACCTAATTAAGGGTGCCGTGTAAACGTACTCTATGAGTGATACTGTTGAGCGAGAGGCCCGCCGGAATTACGCCGGTAGTATATCCTAAATAGGCCACGCGTGGCGCTATCTTGGCAGGGCCGCCGGACGTCTCGCGGGACCCCGCGAATTCGATTTTTAATTACTTCCTTCGCCGTCCCTCCGATCCTTCCGCATTACTAGTGTCTCTCCTTATAAAATCTGTTGTGGTGCTCCCTAGCCTCTCGTTTTCCGCTATTCCTCTGACATCCTCTCGACCGATTGACTAGTCGATCGTACTGTTTCATAGCGGCAGATGTCGGGCTCGTGCGGTAGCACTTTTATTTAAAATTTTGTCAATGGGGTTCTCTCGCGCCTTGCGAGCAGGGTAGCCATTCCCTTATTCCTTTGGAATACCTACGGAAGAAGGAGTACTTTTAACAACGGTAACATGGTTCTTGCTGGTGGGGATAATTAGAATGATCGTGGCGATAAATAATTACTGGATGTGATCCGGAATGTGTGGCCTCCGCTTGATCCACAGCTCTTCCTCTTCCTCTTTCTCTGCCACCCTCACCGGTAGAGACACGTAACCCTACAGCTAGGCCGCTCGCGCACGCAAAAAGTCGCTAAAAATAAAATAAAAGAAATACGCGGGAGGGGTGCGGTCGTCGCATTACGTACAAAAATTTTGGCTTCTCTCACTCACCTCTTTCTCTCCCTCTCTCCAGTGTGAGAGGACGGAGGAGGTACCCTTTCCCGCTTTCGGTCCTTGTGACGGAAAATGTCACGTCACAATATACATAAAATAACAATATATGTACTATATATATATATATATATATATGTATATATGTATATATACATATGTATATACATATGTATATATACATATGTATATATGTATTGTGACATGGTCGTCCCGACGCCCGTCACTCCTCGACTAATTAATAAAGATAAATATTATTATTAATGAAAATAATTAATAAATATTATTAATAACAAAATATTATAAAGTAACGATAAACATGCATCGGCGCGGCGCGATACATGAGTGAAGGCGCAATTTCACGTGCTGCTAAAACAAGTGATTAAAGCGACAGATTTGTCGCTCGTAATCCAACATCAACAATTTTGTAGTTTGAATCAGTTCAATTACAAAACATTTATTGCTGAAACGCTCAACTTTATCAATTCTATCGCGCTGTTATCCTTTTCATGTATAAAAATTATCGCTGTTAGTTCAGCGACAAAAGTTGTTACATGATCATTTTGTCGCTCAAACAATCAGTTTCAGCGGCTCGTGAAAAGGCACCTTGATAAGTTGTACTCATGCCGAACTTGGCCGTTACGCCCCTGACCGCACGAATTTCATGCGCTCCCATACGTCAACTTCAATGCCTCACCATTCAAATTCTATTCATTGAATTACATTTTTGTAAAGAACTTTTCGACTTAGAATTCCATGAAAAATTTGTCATTAAAAACTTCTTCGCCAGTTCTAGGACATTCTGTATGTAAAAATGTTATGATTTTCTGTAACGCTCCCTCGCTCGCCCTCTCTCGCCCTTTCTTGCTCTCCCTTGCTTTCTAGCCCTCTCTCGCCTTCTCTCGTCTTCTTTGGTTTTGTTAGTAAACAAATAAATCCAGTAAATTCCAGTTAACTAAAACCAGTAACAAAAAATTATTTATTGCAAAACCCATGCAGAATCCTATAAAAAATTAATCATTGCAAACCCATATAGAATTCTATGAAAAATTAATCATTGCAAACCCATGTAAAATTCTATGCAAAATGAACCATTGCAAACCCATGTAGAGTTGTATAAAAAGTTATCCATTATAAACCAATATAGAATCTTACTACAAAAGTAATAATATAAAAAAAAATTGCGCCAAGTGAAAAATTAAAATTGCAAATATATATAGAGGTGTATAATGAACTAGTAAATTAATATAATAGTAAATTAATATAAAATTAAAAAGAATAAAATTTTAGTTAAAAAAACTTGGCGCGCTGCTAAGTTTCAAAATTACAATGCACCTTAAAGTTACATAAATTAATTTAACTACAAAATATATTTTAACGTGTGAATACGTGTAGTACAATACTACTATGTATGCATGGACGATAATGATGACGATAATGACGGGGACGTTTCTTAAAAGAAATTTTTCATATTTATACTTTGCATTATGATATCTCTGCTTACAAATAACATAGAGCAAAAAAAGACACTTTCATAATATAATTCGAACTCAATCTATCGATTAAGCCGAGTAAAAACTCGATTGCTTCAGCCATTATTGTGCATTCGAAAGGACCCCGCAGAAAACATATGGAAAATGGCTTTCGGTAAAATTGACTGAAATTTTGCCATTTTGTACTTCAAATAATGCTGATCAAAAGTTACCATAGTCACAATCTTACGAGCCGTTTTTGGTCTGGAAAGACTCAAAGTTCGATAATAGTGCTTATGATACTTTCTCGCTTTCAGCGTTATCCAGGATCAACGACGTGGACCTTTTGAGTATCTGATCCCTTTGTGTGTATATGTGTGTGTATGTGTGGGTGAGTGGTTGGGTGGATATAAATGTGTGTATAGGTGAGTATGTGAATGGGGGTGTAGATGGGACGTGCGTGCGTGCGTGTGTGGGTAGGGGTGTGCGTGCGTGCGTGTGTGCGTGTGTATGTGTGGGTATAGGTGAGCGGGTGAGTATGAGTGTGGGTGTTAGTAGAGATAAGGACCCCACGGTTCGTCACTTCCACGGTAGTTAACGACTAGTCGCGGAAGTGACGAATCGTGGGGTCCTTATTTCTGGTAACACCCACATCCACACCCCCTCATACTCACCCATCCATCCACACAACCACCCACACGCGCACATTCATATCCACCTACCCACTCTCCCACACATACACACACACACACAAAGGGATCAGATACTCGCTACGTCCACGTCGTTAATCCTGGATAACGCTGAAAACGAGAAAGAATCATAGGCACTATTATCGAACTTTCAGTTTTTCCAGGACAAAAACGGCTCGTAGGATTGACTTGTGACTATGGTAACTTTTGATCAGCATTACTAGAAGTACAAAGTGGCAAAGTTTCAGCCAATTTTACCGAAAGCCATTTTCCATATGTTTTCTGCGGGGTCCTTTATAGTAGACTCAATCGTCTGACTCGCGTTAAGATACACGGTGTGCCTCGTTCGGCGATGCCGGTAACTAGGCGCGAGACACTACCGTGTCTCTTGATGAACCCAGAGCGATCCCGGGGGATTGACCGCCATAAGCGGCATGGGGGCAAAGCCCCCTAGTATATATATATATATATATATATATATATATATATATCCAAAATTTTCGAAATATTTACCTGCGGCATTTAAAATGGGACATCTTGTATATAAAAAACCATTATTCTCTATAATAGAATAATCTATATAATAGAGCACTATAGACCATTTTTAAGGCTATTTGTAAAAATATATTAATAACTAATTTATTATATGTATATATTATAATTTTAAAAAATGTAAATATGTAATAAATAAAATAAATTAAAATGTATATATAATGTATGTATATAGTTTTTGTTATCAATTATGTTTTTTATTATGATTTATGTATTACTTATTTATTTTTTTTTATATATTTACATTTTTAATTTATTTTATTTATTACATATTTCCATTTTGTTAAAATTATAATAATATACATATAATAAATTAGTTATTAATATATTTTACAAATAGCCTTAAAAATGGTCTATAGTGCTCTATTATATAGATTATTCTATTATAGAGAATAATGGTCTTTTATATACAAGGTGTCCCATTTTAAATGCCGCAGGTAAATATTTCGAAAATTTTGGAAGATTAAAAATACTTTTCGTACAAAGTTTTATGATTTCAAAGGGAATATAAGATAGTATCATTGATTTAACCTTAGATAATCATTTTAAGGTCACGTAAAAGTTTTCAATTTCTTAAATGGAAACCCCTATTTTTTAATATATATTTTTGTAGCTTATTTCGAGAGCTTTCCAAAACACTAATAAAGTATTTTTCTCTGAAGTACTTCTTAAGTTATAAGATCAGAATTTTTTATGTAAAATGTAAAATATCTTGTAAAATATTTAGTTTTCGGTAATTTTATCTTAATATTTTTATACATGGAATAATAAGATCAATCAATTGGTGAAAGAAAACAGATAATTGTGTTTTTAAAAAGTATGTAATTTTGCAACATGTAACTGCGTACTCTTTCTTAAAAGCAAACTATGTATTTTATGTGTATATTGTACTATATAATAAATGTATACTTTGTATAATTTTTTATTATATATATCTAACATTCTCTTTATTTATAAAATATTATGTGTTATTAAAAGAAATAGATGTACTTATATACTTTTTTATTTCTATTTTGTTATTGCTCTTTAAAAATCAAATGATAAAAATTTTAAATATTATAAAAGTATGTTACTTTTATTTAAAAAATGTTAAATTTTCTTAAAAAGTACCAATAAATAAACTTCAGATATGTATTAGATAACATGAAATTTTTTAATAAAAAAATTACATACATGTACATAAAGTGTAATGAAAAAAAAACATTTTTATTTATCTTATAATTATGTAGTCAAGGTTTATTTGGGTTCCTGCTGTTTTTCTCGATGTTAAATGTCACTATATCTACCTGTGGCGTTATGAAAGATTTAAAAGCTGGGGAAAAGTATGATGTAAAAAGTCCTGGTTTTCCTTATGAGTATGAAGGGGAAAATCATTGCAAGTGGGAAATAAAAGGTTACTATGTTACTACAGTAAATTGCAGTATTGAGATGCCAGTTTATCATGTAAGTTATAAATAAATATCTTGTTTATATGCATAGATTTAGAATACATTATTTTCAAGATTAACACAATTTAACAGAAAAGAATGTAAGAAGAAAATTATTATTTTTTAGTTTTTGCAATGTAATATAATTTTGGTCTTAAAAATATTTTCATTAATGTCACAATTTTAAAAATTTGTAATATTATAAAAAAATAACAAATTTTCATATTTAATCACACTATAATATATGTACATATACTTATAACTACAATTTATGTAACATGTTAGAGAAAATTTATTTTCTGTTTTAAATTAAAAATATTTTACTTAACTTTTAGAAAACTGAAAAGAGATTTGTTATAAAAATTAATATATATTTTAATAAAATTTTTATTATCAAATATATTTATTTATATATTAAAAACGTGTATTCGCTCGTCTATTGATTAAAACAAAATTTAGTGTATAAAAAGGCCAACTAATCGAGCATTATTAGATGATATAAACTAAGTATTTATTCTATATAAAATAATACAGTACAAACGTTTCGACCGCACGCGGTCTTATATTTATTTATATTTATCACACCGATTGTGATTATCAAATTGTATTAATTATTTATTGTATATCTACTACATTGAGTCTATTTTATTGCACTCATTAATTTACATCTATTGTAGTTAGTAATTTAGAAAAAAATAAATATATAAATTTTTACAGAAGTCTGAAAATTTTGACTATTGGTATCATTTTAAATATAGGGTGTCCCGTATCCAGTGTACCTCCCCGGAAAGCAAAATGCGCGCAAATTGTTAGCAGATTGGCTACAAACTACAAAAGTTGCTAACAGATCGGCATCCGTTATTTCCGTAATTTGTTTACTAGCAGAACCTGCTTACAGAATCTGACAGCAGATTGACGACAGAAACCGAGAAAAATCTTGAGATCAAATTGTGCGCGCACCAATACTGTTCGGTTTCTGGTGATAATCTGACCTAAAGTCATGTTAGATTCTGTTGTCAATCTGTTGTCAGATTCTGTGAGCATAGTAATCTGTTCAATTTTTGGCATCAATTTGTTGATTACATCAGTAATAATTATTTCTGCAACAAATCTGTAACCTTTTTTATGACAACATTTGATATCAAACACTTGGTATGATCTGATTTTGACAGACTGCTATCTGAGTCAGAGTCACTGATATACAGTTAGATTCCCAACGTCCTGAACGAAAATATCGAGAGAGGTCATCATTTATTGCATGTTTCCAATTTTCATGTCGTGTATTTTTGTAACTAACAATAAGCCTTAAATTAAAATTCTATTAAAATAAACTCTACCTAAAATTAACTGAACGTGGTTTTGTTAATATTTTATTTTCACAAAAACTTTGTGAAAAACCTTTATTTTCCATTAAAACTTGAAAATTATTGGTGCTTCGATATTTTTGCTGAGGAAAAGTCGTCTCCAAATGACGTTAGGAATCTATTAGATTATTAAATAATCAGTACTGGATACAGGACATTCTATATAGTTTATTTTATAATTATATTTTTCTCATTCAATGAAATAAAAAAATTGTATGTTTATATAAATTATTAAAATATATTTGACAGATTTATAATTACCAATGAATTAATAGGATTCTTTTATAGACAATATTTAATAATAAAAATCTTATTAATTTTTATATTTCTAGAAAATTACATTTAAAGACTAAATAATGTAACGTATTTAATTCGGAATGGTATATACATATATAAAACAGTTATTTTGATGCGTCATATGACGTAGTAATATATAGTCAAACATTAAAATTATAACGATACAGCCCGCGCCGCGAAACCCAAATATCCCTTATCTAGGTATATGGAGATATATAGATATATACATATAGGAATACAAGTATGACTAGACATATATACGCCGCGCGAAAAGTACCTTAGAATTACCACTTCCCTCACGAAGAACGACGATCGGTCCGAATAAAAAGCTCGCGAAAAACCGAAAAGACACATTCCGTTCCGTACCGTCTTATGACAGTTACCGCTCCGGAAAACGTGACCGAAAAGGCTGAGAATAAAGAGATCGAAGGTACCCTGTCTCGTGTGGATGAGTTCCTACTTACAAAGCCGCTTCGAGCGTCTCCTTACCGAATCCGCTCCTCACTCTATCCGCTTGCAAGATCGACTGTTTATCAAGAGATCGGAAGTTCTCGCGGCCGATTTTCCCATTAACTTCCTCGGGAAAAAGCAAACGGAATCTCCGCAACGCGATTACTGGGAAACGAATACCCGTTTTATAAAACTGCACCGCCACCGCTCTCTCTCGCTTCCTCGCGCGCGAGAAAGAGAGCTTCGCGCACGATAATAACACGGGGATCGCACCGCGCCCGGAAAAGAAAAACAAACGCGGCCGTGAGGATTTAAAGAGCCGGTCCTTTTAATCCTGCATTCCGATTGTCGAGACGAATTGATAGACCGACGTTCCGCGTCGACAATTAATCTCGCGCAATTAATATAATACTTGGCGCATGTGTTACAGGACACGATCACCGTACTAATCACCAGTAGAACACCGTCGCACACCAACACACTCGGACACGCCAGTTTATATATACATGATAGATATTTTCGCGTACATTTCTCTTAGCACGCTTCCGTACACGCATTTACTCGCATACACCCACGCATTGGCATATCTTTTATACAGATACATTTACTCTCATATACGCATACATTAATACTCGCATTTATACACGCATCCGCACACATTTATACGCATACATTGATACTCGCATTTATACACGCATCCCCACATATTTATACGCATATATTTATACTCGCATTTATACACGCATCCGCACACACGTATATACATACATCCGATCACATATACCACCGCGTACAGTTAGACTAGCACACTTGCATTGACATACATATTCGCATATCAACATTATATACACTCGCGTCCACGCACACAAACACACCACCATACACTTATACATAAATACACAAATAAACACTTGTTAAGTTTTCGCTACACAAAACGAGTCATACGTTTCTTGGATTTAACCCTTTCCTGAACCTTGTGATCCCGTCTGAACCATCCGGCCGCGCCGGGAAAGCGGTCCGTTATAAAATAATTTTTACTATTCCGCAACAAAATCAATATTCTTATATGTATAAAATAAAGCATCAAAAAACTTGTATTTAGTATAAAAAATCTACAAAAAAAATTTTTTGTAAATGTAACTTTATAAATTTAACTAAAGTACAGATTACAATATATCAATAATTATAATATTATATTCACTAGAAATAGGACAAAAGTTAATATATTTTATTTATAATATATTTTGCTATATTATTTTATATAAAATTATTTTATTTTATAGGATAGTTGTACTGAAGAGAATTTTTCTATCCTATTTGATGGTGAAAATGATGCACAGCAATATTGTGGTCGTGGGACAATCTTTCTCAAAGGAATAAATCCAACTATAAAATTAGATACACCACGTAACTCAAGAAAAGGTAGATTTTCATGCGAAATTCAGGCAGAGAATAAAACCAATTGTAAATGTGGTTGGAAAAAAGAAGTAAGTTTATCTCGTAAAATGATATTTATTAATAAATTAATTATAATTTGTCATTTTATGTGACATATTACTTAATATCATACGAAGCAAAAGTAACATGTGCATCAACTAATCAGTTTCAATGAATAGTATATTAGCTAACAAGTGCGGGCGATCGTAAATTGGCCGAGAGTGCGGAAGTTTGGCGCACGAGGCGAAGTCGAATACGACAATCCGCACGATTTATGACCCGTACATGTTGGCTACGATATTTTGTGTGACCGATGCGTGGAAAAGGAGTCCTTTCTAAAATCCCATTATGTGCGTAAAGGGCGACTTTCCGCGCACCGGTTGCACAAAAATAAATTTTTCTTGATATTATTATCCGTCTGGCTCTTTCTAGCACGTTGAAATTTAAATATGTAATTTACATTAATAATGTATTTTACATTAAAAGTCTTACTAATGTCTCAGTTGCAAGTACACAATTGTTAATTGAAATTACTTTAATTTGATTAAACGTTTCAAATAAAGTATCGATAATAACTCATCATTTATTTAGACTAGAATAGTAGGTGGTACGGAAACTGGAGTAAATGAATATCCTATGATGTGTGGACTTGTTGATAGTACTAAAAACGGAAACGAATCAATATTTTGTGGTGGTACTATAATAGCTGAAAGCTACGTGTTGACAGCAGCTCATTGTGTAAAGGACCGAGATATTTCTACGATCGGCGTTGTTGTTGGCGAACACGATGTAACAACAGGTAATTATTAAAATATCTAGATAATACTTAAAAAAAAATGTATTAGAGAAAGAGAAGTGTTTATATATAATTGTAATAATATCACATTAAAATCTTATAATTTTTTTCTTGTATGTGTTACAAATTAATTTAGACAATTATAATTTAAAGACATAAAATAATTGCAAATATTTTAATGCAATATCGGTAAAGAGAAAAATGACTATGTATTAACAACAAGAAACTTATTTAAAGATCAACGTAACAAGCACTTATTAAAGGTGATATAAAATAAACCATTTATTCAATCTATATTACAAACAAACGTTTTGACTGCACGCAGTCTTCTTCAGTAAAAATTCAAATCAATATAATATATCTTAAAGTTAAAAGTCTTTCGTTAATATGAGTCGGGAATTTTAACAAATATAATATATATCTCGCTGAACTTGTGCATATTATACAACTTATGATGCGACATTTAAGATGTTGGAAAGATTCCGTACAATTTCTTCATTTCTATGTGAGAAATCGTTGTTGTCAATCCCACTATGATTAATAAATAAATAAATAAATTAATTAATTAATACTGTGTCACACAAATTAAAATAGTAATAAAAATCACACGCTTACTTATAATATATGTTGTTCTTCACTGAAAGTCACGTATGACAAGACCTCTCATTTCCAACTGTGCTCTATCTTACAATTAGTTATGTGTGTATTATATAGGTTTGATCTGAGAATGTCTCTGACGACCTATTTTGTCTAATGTGTTTATATTAAATGTTTGCTATTATGTCTATTGTATATTATGTGCTATTGTATATTATGTCTAGAATATCAAAGTAAGATTTGCTAAGTAATTCGGTATCTTTATTTAAATTCAAACCATTTTTTTGTTCCTTAATATGTAACATCTCGGAGATGAGTTTTTTATGATAATTAATTTCACTATCTAAAATTTTAACATTATTCCAATCAAAGGTAAGCTGTTTATTTAATATGTGTTCAGAAATTACCGAATGTCTAATCGAATCTAATTTTATATTGTTTCTATGCTCTTTCACTTTAGTCTGCAGTTGTCTCTTCGTTTGTCCTACATAAGATGCGTTACAATCATTACAGTTTATCCTATACACTACATTTGAGTTACATGAATGTTCATTTTTATCTTTATGTGTCTTAATGATTTTGTCGAGTTTATTAAAACATCTGTATCCTATTATGAGGTCCTTATTTTTAACCAAAGAGACATTCATTTCTGATATTTTGTAAATGTATGGAATAACAAATAATTTTTTATGTACAGATTCATTATCTGAATTATCTGTTTGTTTTGCGGTAATATCTCTATTTTTACAATACATAATTTCTGATTATAAGTAAATAAACTAAAATTTTGTACATTAAGGGTTTTTCTCATTTTAAATCTACAATCAAAATTTGAAAATCTATACAATTGAGAGAACGGGTTAATTGAGATTATGCCAAGAATCTCGTCTGGATATATCATAGTATAGTCGTGCCTTTTCGCACGCTTTTGCAACAAATTTCAGATTATAAAATAAAAGATTCCCATCATAGAAGACGCGGGTCTCGTTACTGTGTTGTTTCTTTGTGTTTTTGTGGCTCGTAACTGCAACACGTCTCTTTGGTGTCTTTTAAGAAAAAAGTTATTTTTCTACGTTTTTCTAATGGAGAAAAGGAAGCACCGAGACCGTTTTTCTTCTCGACGAAAGTCTTCACACTGTCGCCAGTCCAAAGATAGCGAAGTGAGATCCCACCACAGTTCTCGCGATTCATCTTGCGACTCATCTCGAGGTCGATCTCGTCGCCATTCTTGTGAAGCTTCCCGAAGCTGCTTGCGCACCCTAACCAATGCGCGTATTTCCCCATTCAACGATGTCTTGACACAAATCTTGCAAAACGGCGTTCCTGCAAGAGGAACGCCTTGCCTCCATTAAAGTTAAGACCTACTTTTTTCCAGGAAATCAATCTTTGGTTTCAGATCATCTGTTGATAGAGGAAGAGACAGTTCTCCAGAACCGGGGCTCTGAACTAGGTATGTCCTCTTGCCGACCCTCGAGTTCTGTTTTACTTTTACGGGATTCGTGGCATAGAGTGGTCATAACCGACTCCATTCTTCTCCGCACTTCTTAATTTTTCAGACGTTATTGTAGAAAAGATTCCTCGGTGACTTTGCAGGATCAACCTTCTAATTCGACACAAGATGAGGTTGCGCTTAATGACAACCCGTTGATTGATAAGCTCTTCGGTCCTTGTGAGAAGCCTTCCCCTGACTCGTCATAACCTTCGGCCATGTTCAACTTTACTCGGAATATTGTTTGTTCGAGTTTAGAAGAAAAACGACGTTCCAATCTCCTTAAGCAGTACCAGGTTAAGGATGACCTTGCCATCTTGAGCTCCCCGAAGCTCAATAAACTTTTAGTTTCTGCTTTGAAACCTTCGGCCTCGATTATTAAACAAGATGAATTTCAAGCTCATTCTCAAGTTCAACTAGCGGTATCGTTGAACGCTTTTGGTTTCGCCATCTCGTTACTTCTGGGCCCGGAAGTGAAGCAGCTCCTTCCCGAAAGGCTAATTCGGCCTTGCGTTAACTTGGCGATGGTTTCCATCTTCTGTCAGATCAATATCGCCTTTCTTTGGCTCGACAGGCTTTTATTAAACCGTCACTCAGCTTAGTCGGCAAGAATGCACCGGCCACGCTCCCAATGAGTGGCTTTTTAGAACTTTCTTCGCCGATAATCTGAAAGATGCCCAAGCCTGCGAGAAAGCTGCAAAAGATCTCCTCAGATCAGCTCCACTTGTTTCCAAGCCCAATAATCAACCGATCAGGCAAACATCAACGAAACAGCAGAATCATCCTCAAGCGAAGAGACCGGGAAACTTGAAAGCCCCTGTACGTCATCCTCCCTCGTCGGCTCGCCATGCAGGGGCGCGTCACACTTTGAGCCGCTTTTGGGAACAAACTCGGTCTCGCTCTCGTCGTCGCTAGACACGATAAGAATAGCGGGTCGTCTTGCTTTTTTCACTAATAATTGGCTAAAATTGACGTCGGATCACATAGTACTAGATGCAATTCGAGGATACAGAATTCCTTTTTCTTCTCCTTCTCCGATAAGATCCCATCTTGAAAAACCAAACTTTTCTTTGTTAGAGGTTTCTCATTGCGACAAAGAAAATAATTGTCTTTTGCTTAAGGATGCCACAGCCGTCGTGAATTTTACTCCAGACCAATTTCTTTCTCCGTTTTTTCTTCGCGAAAAATCTTCGAGGGGTATATGCCTTATTTTCAATTTAAAAGATTTAAATTCAGATATTTCCCCCCTCACTTTAAACTAGAGAACTGGAGGATGATCATACGGCTAATGCTTCCTGGAACAGAAATGGCTTCTCTAGATATTGAAGACGCATATTTATTAGTTCCTATTCATGTTGCGCACAGAAGATTTTTTAGATTTCAATAGCGAGATTTAATTTACAAATTTACAGTCTTTTGGTCTTTCCACAGTGCTTTTTATTTTTACTAAAATTCTGCGGCTGGTAACATCTTTTCTTCGAGAGAAAGCTTTTGCATCTATTGTTTATTTGGACGATTTTCTCCTTCTTAAATCGTCTAAAGCTAATTGTCAAACGAACGTGCAGGCTCACATTAAATTATTATCTTCTTTTATTATTAATTTATTAGGTTTTATTATTAATTTTAATAAATCGGAGTTGGAACCATCACAAAGATAAGGAAATACCTTGGTTTTATCTTCAATTTAGAACATCAGCAATTCCGGCGGAGCGTCGAGAAAAACTCTTCAACATGATTTCGAATTTTTTTTCCAAATATCATTGTTTAATTCGAGATTTTGCTAGCATGATTGGTTCGCTTGTTTTTATTTGTTCGGCAGTTTGCTACGGCTCTTTTTACATCAAGCGTTTTGAGAGCGAAACATTTTTGACTCTAGTTCAATCAAAGAATGATTATTCAGCAAAAATTCTTCTTTCTCCTAATCTTCAAGATGATTTTTAATGATGGCGCAGAGTCTTGTCCGATTTGGATAAATTCAACGTCATTTGTATGAGCCAATATGCATTGGAAATCTTCTCGGACGCATCTTTAACAGGCTGACATGTCTCTTGCGGAAATTCTCGTTCTCATGGCTGGTGGTCAGAAGCTGATAAAAGTTTACACATCAATGCTCTGGAGTTCAAAGCTGCCTTTTTCGGCCTTAAATGTTTTGCTGGTGATTTTTATAACTGCAAAATTTTACTCAGAGTTGACACCACAGGTCTCTCTTACATTAACCGTTTCGGTTCAGTACAACATCCTCTCCTTTCCTCTATTGTCAGAGACATCTGGCAATGGTGTGAAACGAGAGACGTTTTCTTATTCGCGTCCTATATTGCTTCAGCAGAAAACGTAATAACTGACAGGGAATCCCAACTCCCAGATGCCGATACAGAATGGTCACTCTTTGTTCCGGCTTTCAACAAATCTTAAACAAATTTGGCCCCTTTGACATTGACCTTTTTGCCTCACTTCTTAATACAAAATGTGATCTATATATTTCTTGGATTCTAGATCCTAATTTTTTTGTAGTGGATCGTTTTACTTTATCTTGGAAATATTTTTACTTTTATGCTTTTCCTTCTTTTATTCTTATCCCTCGTGTGTTGCGCAAAACTGTCAATGACAAAGTGGAAGGAACTCTAACTGTTCCTTCACGATCTTGATTTCCTATTTTTTGTCACCTCTTAATTTCGGAACCTCTCATCCTTGCTCCTTCTAAATTATTACTTTCTTCACCTCGTAGGAACCAGCATCCGGCCTATAGGACACTTTCCCTGGCGGCCGCGAAATTATCAGGAAAGCGTTCAAATCCCATCAGGTTCCTGAATCTTCGTTAGATGCCCTCCTGGCTTCACTCACTCCTACAATAGCAATATACAAGATACACGCCCCCCTCGGGAATGGTGGATTTTTTTGTCAGGATAATCAAGTCTCT